ACAAAGAATTTTCTTGACATTATTTGAAGGTACGCTTTACTTTGATTGTTTAAAGCCTCGGCTCTATACAAACCGCACCCTAATTAAAGTGATAAAAGAATACAACACACGCCTAGTAATCGACTCAGTTTGCTTTGAACCCTTTGAATCTTGAAAGTTTTATAATGAAAAAGAAAACGAAAAACCTCGTCACATGCCTAACAATGGTGCAATTTTCACGATTACATGAAAGTGTGTGGTAGTTTCAAATGCTCATAAACAATTATCTTGCTTGATGTTCATTATCTTGAGATGCCAAGAAACTGAAATTTAAATTTTTTTGCGTAATTTAGTGGGAAAAAGGTTGCGGTCGTTGTCGTAGCACCCCATAACTTAGTTACCGCATTATAGTTTTCATTCTCACTACTAACACTAGTTTAGTGGGAAAAAGGTTACGATCGTTGTCATAGCACCCCATACCTTAGTTACCGCGTTATGGTTTTCTTTCTCACTACTAATACCACCCCACGAATACCTTAAAAAAGCTAATAATAAATCCTTAATCGATTGTCTGAAACTCAACCCATTCACTAAAGGGCTTAACAACCAAATTTTGGACACAATGATGGTCCTCTTTAACGCCATGAAATTTCAGTGTGAGAGCTCTCATACGCGATGAAATTTCGGTGTCATGAAATGAGTCTTGTTTAACCCTGTAAAAGTCATAAATCGATGTGTACCATAAAGTGCAGAGTATTCTCCTACACCATCAGACAAGACACAGCGGAAAAAACAGCAATAAAAACACTTATTTTTTGCCTTTAAAGGAAGGAAAATGGTTTGATAGGGCTGTAGCCCTATCAAAATAAGTAAAGCCTCACCAAATAACTCATCAAAAGTTGTAATTCAAGTATTGAAAAACATCTAAAAAATAGTGTATATTTCGACTTGAACATTGTAGTTTTGAAAAAAATTAGGATTTTAAACTCTAAAAAATAATATATATTTCAAGAAATTATCTAGACTGTCCATTTCACCCTAAAAATAAGTGTTCAAAGATATACAAGAGCGGTATGATTTTTTTGAGTTTGAAATTTTATTGTTGGTGTTGAAAATTGATTTTAGAGCTATCATGGAGATTTATATGACCGAAAATACGTTCTAAATAAGGATTTGAGGTAAGGCTTTATTTGGTTTTTACATGACCTAGGCCTTATAGAAACTTCATCCTTAAAGGAACTAAACATAAAACAAAAATTTGTGGGAGAGGGTTTTGCAGGCTCATAATAACTTCATGAAGGCATGGGACCATCATGATCATAGTTTCAACTTGATCTTAAGTGCAACCCTTCGAAACCGCGAAGGGAACCAGCGTTCTTTATCGATATCTTGAGATGTTGTAATGCTTGTTATGTCGATAAGGACCCAACCCTTAGTGGAGTGTGGTACAAAAAGTAGCATTTGTTTTCTTCATAAAAACAACCATTATAAATGGTCATTTTACATCATAAAATAACCTATAAAATAGAAAATACGATCATTATTTCTTGGCATAAAAAGTAGCAAATCTTATGAAAAAAAAGAAGAAGTTAGAAAACAGCATTTTTTTGGAAAACTGTTTCATGTGGGTTGAACCGCATTGCTACATATGTGGTCCAAAAAGTGAAAGCATCCATCTTTAGGATGGATGCAAGTAGGTGGTCCATCTATAAATTAATCTTCCTCAAAAAAATAATGGAAATTAACGGTCCAAATGTTTTCTTATTAAAATTATTATTTTTTATTTTTAAAACTTAATTTAATTTTTCGTATTCATGATCTCCATATTAGAGATTACATGTCCTTAAAAATTAGATCTTAAAATCCATCTCAAAAATAGATTTATTATGCGGGCTTCGCTGCATAGAAACCGGGTCATTTTCCAACATCTCTTGTTTTCTTAGTAGTATTTCTACTAATCTTTAAAGTTTCCCATAATTTCCAATATATTTCGTATGCGAAAATCTTTTGTCCACATGATGTAGACGACAGAAGGGGTGCACAAGCACCTTTCCCCTGGTTCAAATTGCACTTGGTTTCATCTAGTGCTCATAAAATAATTCTATTTTTATATATTATTTAAAAATAATTATTATCTAAAATTTATGGTCCATTTGTAAATCACTTTAAAAACTATTGCCATTATAAAACAAAAACAGTCCAGCCTTATATCTAAGCTTCGTTTTATGGACAGAGTAATAAAAATATTAAAAAATAAATTTTTAATTTTAACAATTTATTTATTTTTTAATTCATGATCACCTTGGTCTAGATGATAAATTTAGAAAACAAAGATTAAAAAATTTATCTTTAAAATAAATTTTAAAAGGAGACCGCATGTGTACATATGAGTTGGCTAACTATTTCGTGATGTCCAAGGACTACTTTCCGTTACACATCCGCAAACGCAAGGGGCGAAAGGCATATTCCTCCACTACCCTCCTAGTAAATTCCCCAAAACCATGCTTCGCTGTCGAACGGGACCTGAGTGGGGTACATCCACCTAGGATGATTTGACACGTGGTACCATTGTACAGCAACCGACCTTTCTTTCCCCAAATTAGAGATGCCTTGTACCTAACCCAAATACGCAATCATTTGTTTACTAATAATTGATACTGCCAACCCTATTTTCATCAATCCACCGTAAATATCTAATGGGTACGGTTTGTATGGAACCTAGACCCTAAACAATCAAATAAGAGCCTACCTTCTAATAGTATCAAAAAATATGATTTAAATGCTAAAAATCTTTTTGATGGCTTTAAAATATATTTTTATTTTTATTTATAAAGTTTAAAGTTTTAAAAATAGTGTAGATCGGTAGACCTATGAAAACTTGAAAAAATATTGAAAATTGACAATTCAAAATTATGTTACAAAATGCATTATGTCCAAAACTTGAAATCCATTTTTTTATCTCATTTAGGGATCTTGATGTCGAGATGATCAATTTGAGGATATTTGAGCATCAAAATAACCTCTTTTAATGAAATTTTTGAGATAGACTCTAATTTGATTGTTTAGAACCTCGGCTCTGTATAAACTTTTCCTATATGTAAAAGAGGCCACCCATATTTTCATCAACCCACCCAAATAAGCATGGAGGCATATCAAACTAAATAAAGCGTATCAAAATAAATAAAGCTGTACTTCATAATTCATTGAAAATTATAATTCAAGCATTGAAAAACCTTTACATCGATCATCTCTGCTTGAATACCACGGTTGGAAAAAAAATAGAATTTTAAGCTTTAAAAATAGTGTATATCGTAACAAATTATCTAGACCATTCATTTCTCCCTATAAATAAGTGTACAAAGATCCACAAGATAAGTACCATTGTATTTGGTGTCGAAAGTGCTTTTGGGATGAGGATTTAAGGTGAGGTTTTATTTTGTTTTCATAAATCTTGGGCTTTATAGAAACTTCATCCAAGTTTAAACAAACTTCAATCTGGATTGAAATCATTCTGGATCGAAAATTATTGAGGCCAAACCAATTCTAGCTAAATATCGAGAATCGACCAATTTTAATGTCTAGTTCTTTGATCTGGATCAGCAATCCTTTGAACCAGATAAAAAATCCAGATTGACGATTCGGATCAACGACCCATTTTTTAAAACTTGATTTAAACTTGAGAGTACCGGGCCTTGAGTTTTGAAAACTAGTCGGTTTAACTGAAATAAGACGGTTTGAGTGGCAAACACAACTAAGGGAGCTTAAAATCGCCTCGCTCTTTCGATTCTTGACTTTTTATTTATATATATATATATATATATATATATAAAATTGGACATATCATACCGATCTAAATCGCTGATCTGCTAAAGGAGTTGCCAATTTAAAGTACTGGATAATATGCTATTGCCACCGATATTTTTAGCAGCACATAAAGAGGGATATGTGTATTATTGAAATTTGGGTGGCCAAATCAACATCATTCATTGTTATATTTAAGGGAAATTTATCAAATTCTGTATTTTTGAACCACTGACTTCCATTTGGGTTATAAATATAACAAACACTCAATTATAATATCCTTCTAAGAAATAATAAAAAAAATGTTTCAGTATAAAGATCGTCATTGTTGTGCAAGCTAATTATATACCACCACTTATAGAGACTGAAAAAGCAATATTCATGGAACCGAGAGCACTCCCTCGAGTAAAGGCTTTTATAGTTGGTTTACCAAAATGAGGATCCCTAATTACATAGCAATAAGTTATATATATAAAAAGTTGATTTTATTTCGATGATATATTTTGATTTTATTTCACCTCTAATAAAATGTTTTTTTAGGGTAAGTAAAAAAAAAAAAAAATTGATTTTGAGCAGTAGCAAAATGGCAAAATATTAGATATCTCATTTTTATATGTGCTTTGATAAATGGGAAAAGTTTATATAGAACAAAGGCTCTAAACATTCAAATAAAAACCTACCTAAAAAATTTCAATAGAAGAGATTGTTTTGACGCTAAAATATTATCAAATTGATTATCTCGACATCAGCTGCATGGATATGAGAAAAAAACGGATTTTAAGTTTTGGAAATAATATGTTTTGTAATGTATTTTTGGACCGTCAAGTTTCAAGATTTTCAAGTATTCATAGATTAGTCGATCTACACTATTTTTGAAACTTTCAATTTTATAAATAAAAATAAAAATATATTTTAAAGCTATCACAAAGATTACCGGTGTTGTAACCATATTTCTCAACGCTATATGAAGGTAAGCTCTGATTTGATTGTTTAGAACCTGGGATCTATACAAACCACATCCTTAGTAAATTCCCTTAATATAAATATATATATATATTATATATTTTTAAAGTATTTGAAATAAGAAATATTTTACAGCCTTACATAGCAAATACCAAACCAAATATAGCAGCCCTAATTTTAACTGATTGACAGCTCACCCTGACGCGCACCGATCGCTGGCCCCTCTTTCCCTCCATATTTAAGCATCAAGGCGGCAAGAGAGAGCACGGAGAAGAGAGAAAGCCTTGCTTCTCATAGCTCGCCCGCTAACCAGCCCCTTTTGGGGGTTGTGGCCTATAGCTACCTCTAATATTACTTACTATTTTCAATAGAAATAAAAAAAAAAAAATTCAGTCGTTTTTTAACAGAGAAAGAGAATGGAGGGAAAACTCCGAGAATCGGAGCTCTCCGAGTTGTGCAGGGACGGCACAGAGAGGGGGAAGGGAGTCTTGAGACCGGAAAAGTTCCGAGAATCGGAGCTCTCCGAGTTGTGCAGGGGCAGCAAAGAGAAAGGGCGTCGATTTTCCGCAGGAGGAGCAGGAAAGGAGATGATGAGGCGCAGCCTGGGCGGTCTCTACAAGCAGAGGTCTTTGTCGAGTGATTATTACAGGGAGGAGGCGTGGTTGAGGAGGAAGGATAACAGCAAAAGGAGGACCAAGAGCGTCACAGACGAGGATCTCGACGAGTTAAGGGGATGCATAGAACTTGGATTTGGTTTCGGGGCCTCAGATGATCACCGCCTCACCGATACCCTCCCGGCTCTTGATCTATACTATGCTGTCAATCGCCAGTATAACGACTCGATCTCCAAATCGTCAGCATCTGATTCGTCTGGATCACCGGTTGGGTGCCCTCACAATAGCTTCTTTGGCCCAGGTATCCTTGATTTCTTTCTCTCTTTCTTGATTTTTTTTTTTTATGGATCATTTTTATTGGATCTATCAAAGTTTGTAATAATATATATGTGATTATATATTGGGTATGGCTTGCAGGAGATAGTCCACAACTCATGAAGACGAGATTAAGGCAGTGGGCTCAAGTGGTTGCTTGTTCTGTTAGGCAGTGCTGCTAAATTTGATTATGGGGATTTGGTATATACACACCCGTGGTTTGTTTAGATCAATAGATGGATGTCTGTGTTTTATTTCTATTATGCAACCGTTAGTTTTGTGCTCTGCGTTTTTTCTTGAAGGCCCTGGGTAAAGGATTTTTGGATTGATTCGATTGTGTCTAGCTCTAGACATAAACAAAAGGGTTTATGTTCCATTCGTTTCTTGTTCGAGTTATTTCTCAAAACTGTTTATTCTTCGAATTGCTTCTCAAAACTCTTTTCCTCTAAATACTGTTTCTTCTTCGAATTGCTTCTCAAAACTCTTTTCCTCTAAAGATAAACAAAGAAGGGGTTTATATTCCATTAGTTTCCTCTTCAAGTTCATTCAATAATTTTTTCAAACAAATTTGTCAAAATTATCTTTCACTAAATCTATTCGTTTCTTCTTTGAGTTCCTTCAATAAATTTTTCAAACAATTTTGTCAAAACTGCGTTTCACTAAATCTATAAGAAAAGCCTTCTTGTCTTGTTTGTGCCAGTCTAAAACGCGTTGAAAGTAGAATCAATGGCATCCTTTATGTGCAAGTAACCACAAATGGTATTATTTTAAATGCCGATAGGGAGGGGGAAACACTATAATGAACGGCTCGGATTCAACGAGGTCCGGTTGCTTCTTCTCCGTTAGGTTCCGCGAACTGCCCATTCGTTAACCAAATACATTTACAAAAGTTAGGGTGTAGGCAAACGCAAGGCAAAGATACACAAGGGTTGACTAGATGTACCTGTACAGCTACTATCCAGCGTCATCAGCGGTGATGCTTACGGCTCAACCCCTATGGTGTATAATATACCTTGACACAGTAAACGTGGTGATGTGATTAGGCAAGATCAAGGAGCCGCTTAGGACCGGCAATATGCCGAAAAGCTAGGCCCTACTTAAAAAAAAAATAGGGCTTGGGCCATAAAAATGTGGCTCGAGGGCTGGACTTGGGCTAGTACAGCTGCACGCCCAGTTTAAAAGGGGTCGACCATATTTTTTTCCTCATTTTTTTTATATTTTTACTTCATTCATATTTGGCCTGGACTTGGGCTAGTACAGTTACACGCCCAGTTCAAAAGGGTTTTTTTTTCTCATTTTTTTATATTTTTACTTCATTCATATTAGGCCTTGTCCAACTTTATGAGAATAATGTTGAGCCTTACAGGAATAAGGTCAGGCTTGGGCTGGTTCTAGCCCGTTGCCACCATTAGGGTATATTTAATTTCTACGAGACTTGGTTTTGGAAACTGCACCTTCCAGTAATACCGTGGTATTTCCTTGATTGATAATGGGAAAGTTTTCCTTGATTGATAATGGGAAAGTCTTACAGTACAGTGGATACCACCATATATTTAAAAGCTAAGGAGTACATACCCTTAGTTCCATAGGGGATTCTAGAATTTAAGGTATTCACTTTCTTGGAAGACTAGGTTTTCAAAATCGCATATTCTAGAAATCAAACACGCCTTAGAGACGACGAAAGCGGGTTAGAACGCAGAAACGTTCATCTATAGATTGAGAACAAATCTCTCCATTGACACCGGTTAAGGAAAAACTATAATAGTTTAAACGGTTATGGAAATGTGACGTCCTTCCATTGTTGCTCCATTTCACAATGGATTGTCAGCATTTTTGGATATGGGAGTATATTATGCCGTTTATTACCGCATAGGTCACATACACCCCTATAATTACTATTAGGAAGGTATCACGTAATCATTATTATTATTTTTACAATAAGGAAGGTGTCACGTCATTCAAAATAAAAAAAGTGGTATTTGAGTGCCGTAAATAACTCACCTTTGTTCAATTTCCTATCCAAGGACAAAACGTGATTTGTGACCTTGTATAATAAATAAAGGTGTGGTTTCTATGAGGTTGCAACTTTAAACACTCTAATTAGAGTGAATATCCAAAATTTATCATATCATGTAATTTTTGTGTAAAAAATTCTAAGGATTAATTAAACATATTTTTTCATATTTAATTATAAAAAGGATGGTATACAATTAGACCATTTACCTTTCATACAATGAGGTTACAATTACTTATAGCCACGATATGTGAAATTTGATAGCTTGGATGTGTCACAAAGTTCGAGAAAAGTTCATTTAAACTTTGAGCTTGGTCAATGTAATAAATGTATCAATCCAATTTCACATCCAATAGTCAAATTAATTGTGATCATTTTGTACCAAAGATAAATGATTTCATTGTATACTTTTCCATTATAAAATGTTAAACTCCAAAAATGATTAAAATCAAGTAGATATATAAGGACTTAAAATCTTGAAAATAGATAGTTCAAATAATAAGTTGCAAGATACATTATTTTTAAGTCTTGAAACCTTTTTTTTTTTTCATATTTATACATCTCGATATCAAGATGATCAATTAGAGGGTTTTCCAACATTAAAACAACCTTTTATGATGGATTTTTTATTTGACAAAGGTTCCAACTTTTATTAATGAGAAACTACTAAAAAGCGATTATATCAGAGGAAAACAAAAGAGAGGGCAGGGAAACCCCACCTTTGGCTAGAGAATCAGCTAAAGCATTAGCCTCCCTATAAACATGAGAGAAAGAGATAGCTAAGGGGGCTGAAATGTCCATAATCTTCGACCAGATAGACCTGAGATTCCAAGGAATGCGCAATTCCTTCGTACACCAGCCAACAACATTAAGCAAATCACCTTCACAAATACAACTATTGCCAATGCCTTTAGAGATGAAGAACTTAAGGCCTTGTAGCAATGAGGCAAGTAGCAGAGCTTAATGGACCAGCATAAGAAAAGATAACCTGTCCCTGATCATTACGCAACACACCCCCAATTCCAGCAAGGCCAGTATTACCTAAGGAACTGCCATCAAAATTCAATTTAAAGCTACTAGCTTTCGGAGGAGTCCAGAAGCATTTAGGTCGCATCTTAACTTTCCCCAACAGAAATAGGTTTTGTAGGTTAAACAAGACATCTGGTTGAGAGACACCCCTGCTATCCTTAGTGATCGAAAACCAATGCCAAATGGAGAGCTTAACATTATCAAGCAAACTATCTGCTGAAATATACACTTCCTCAAAAGTGCGCCTATTTCTTTCCTTCCACAGCTCCCAAAGCATTACCCCTCTTGCAATTTTCCAAACCAAGATTCCCCCCGATTGTAAATGCCCAAAAGATAGCTGTGACACTAAGTCCTTCACCGAAAAAGGAATTGGAATTTGCACCCCAAGAAGATCGAAAAACGAATACCAAATAAAAGAAGCAATCTTACAATGAATGAAAAGGTGATTTCCAGTTTCCTCATTTTCTTTACACATCAAACAGATATTGGGTAGCACCTTACCCCTCTTAACCAAGTTGTCAATGGTTAATGTCTTGTTACGAGCTGCTAACCAGAGAAAAGCTTGTATCTCATGGGGAACAGACCATTTCCAGATCTTAGCCACAAGAGGTAATGACCATCTCTATCTGTTGTGGAAAAAAGACCTATAACAGGACTTGACTGAGAAGATTCCATCATTCTCGAATTCCCAAATAAGTTCATCTGAAGACCCTTGGGAAATATAAATTGAATCCAATAGCCTCAATAGTTCTAACCACTGAAGATAAGTGTAACCAGAAAGTCTATCGTATGGAAAAGAGATATTCCAAATAATGCGTGAACCATTGAAATCTACTAAATCCGCTATCTTGGCATCCAGGAGAAGAACCTTAGTAAAAAGATTTGGAAAAATAAGCTTCAGAGGGGTGTCACCCATCCACTTATGATGCCAAAAGGAAATAGAGGCACCATTCCCCACCAACTACCAAAAATGTACCGCTATCATAGGGCGACATCAAGAGATGGGCTTTCACAAAAAGGAGAAGTCACTTGAGCGATCAACACATAGCCATAAACCATGCCAATCCCTCCCGTATTTTGAAATTAAAACTTGACACCAAAGCTGATCCGTGCAATGGAAACTTCGCCACCACTACTTAGAAAGCAAAGCGTCGTTCATAAATTTTAGCTAGCGAATGCCCAAACCACCTTCACATCTTGGGGTACAAACCCAGTCTCATCTTAATAAATGATATTTCCTCTCTACTCCAAAGGAGCCCCAAAGAAAATTACACATCATCTTCTCAATTTTCTTAATTACAAAGGCAGGCATAAGAAGAAGCGACATAAGATAGATCGGTAAATTCCCTAAGCAAGAGCGTAGCAAAATTACCCTACGCCCCAAAGAGAGATATTTGAGCTTCTATAAGTCCAACTTAACCTGCACACGTTGTATTACATTGTCCTAAATCGAAATAGGTAGCATAAAGTCAGAAATCAGAATGCCCAAATAGGAAAACGGGAAGGAGCCAACCGAATAACCCAACTGAAGAGTGAGGAAATGGCATAAATCGGGATGGAAACTAACTCCAATTAAAGAGGTCTTAGAAAAATTAACTTTGGGCTCCAGAGAAGCCTCACAACAATCAAGAAAGCATGATATATTGGACAGCTGAGTCGAAGAAGCATCACAAAAAATAAGGGTGTCGTTAACATACTGAAGATGTAAGACTCTCAAACCCGAATCAGCAACCTGAAAGCCAGAAAATCTGCCACAAGCTTCTATTTTTTGAATCATAAGGCTAAAACATTCCGCATAAATAGAAAAAAAAAAGGGTGATAGTGGATCTCCTTGACGAAGACCCCTAGTGGCTCTAGAGAAGCCAGATGGGCTACCCTTAACCAGACCTGAGAAATGGGCCGAGGACAGGTAAATCCCACTCCTCCACTTCTCCCCAAAGCCCATATTTTTAAGAATCTCCAACAAGGCTCCTCATTCAACACAATCATAAGCCTTCTCCAAATCTAACTTCACTACCACACCAGGAAGCTGACATGTCAGTCTAGAATAGAAACACTCTTGAGCCACCAAAACACTATTAGTAATATGACGGTTTTGAATAAATACAAATTGATTGGGGGAAATAATGCTGGGGAGAATGAGTTTGAGTCTCTCATCCAAGACCTTTGCCACAATCTTATAGAAGCTTGAAAGAAGACTAATGGGTCGTATACTAGATAAATTTGCAATCATCGACTTTTTGGGGATAAGAGCAATGTAAGTGGCATTAATCCCTTTGAAAACAGAGCCGCTTAATATAAACTCTCTAATCATTTCCAGCAGTTCAGACTTAACCAGCTTCCAAAATTTATGGAAGAACGAGAGAGAGAAATCTTCAGGACTCGGAGCCTTATCTCTAGGTAATGCAAAAACAACAATTTTAAGCTCTTCCATAGAGACCACACACTCCAAAGAATTATGCAACTCTACAGAGAGAGTTTTGAAAGGCAGTCCATGTAGAAGAGGTGTGAATTTGACCTATGAAAAAAAGGCCTTTTTAAAATGGTCAACAATTGCCTTTGCCCACTCTTCACTATTATCATTGTTGATCCTTGGGATGACGAGACCAGATATATCATTTTGTCTTCTTCTCGTACTAACAATAGAATGAAAAAATTTAATATTCAAGTCTCCCTCCTTTAGCCACTTTACCCTAGATATTTACTTTTATGATGGATTTTTGAGGTGCACCTTAATTTTACATTTTAAAATTACAACCTTATATAACTTTTATCCTATAAATAAAGGGCGGCAAGTTATGGATAAGGACAGATACAATCCTTGCACTGCATGTGACTCCATTAACCATCCTCAATAGTTGAACTATTCATCCACCTGAGTGGAAAATGGAAGAGAAGCAATTTTACTTTTTGGATGAGACTATGGTGGACCTTCCAATAAATAATAAATAATGCTTGTCATGTAAAAATACGTAGTTGCAAATTTAGCGTTACGGTTTAAATAGAGGGAAATGTTTTCTATACTTTCTTTTGGGAAAGGTTTCTATACTTTCCCTATAGCATAGAAGATCTATGCTTCCCCTACCATCCAACCATTTAATTTTTATCAAGAGAGCCACTCACATTTGATCTTCGATCCGACGTCTTAATGTATTTTATTTTTAGGTTTTTTTTATTTTTTATACAAATTGTATGAATATGAAATTTGGTACGTGGTATGTTTTCATTGGGGCACACCTATAAAAAATATTAAAAATAGTTTTGTGATAAAATATAATGACCAAAATACCTCTTGAAACTTTCAGGGGTATTTTGGCCATTTTATTTTATTGAAAATATTTTTTTCATATTTTTCATTAGTGCGAGTTTAATAGAGGATTGGGCTTCCAAAATTTGGTCAAAATAGTTTATAGAAAAAATTAAAAATAAAATAGTGCAGAAACGTGACATTGTAATTGGGGCAATCTTAGCCCTTCATTCAGAATGGACGGTTGGATGAGGGGAAGTATATAAATTTTATGTTGTAGGAGAAGCATAGAAAGCTTCCCCTTAAATAGATGATAATAAGTGAGGCAAACATGTACATTATACATTATAACTAGTGTATCGATAAGGCTACCTAATAACTCGCGTACTGGTAAGGCTACCTATTTTTAATGAGCAATGATTTCATGCAACTGTTGTATAGTAATATGATGCAACAACTTTAAAAAACCATCTTAAGGCTATTTGTTTGATTCAAATTTTGAAATGTACACTTTTTTCATTCTAATGAATAATCACAAAAAAAGAAAAAATTGAAAACACAACCTAGAAAGCATTTTTTTAGCCCAATTAACATAGGCCGTTCATTTTGGTGAAATGCTTAGATCTTGGCTTTAGAAGGATTTTTTCATTTCTAATTTTTTTGGGATGGCGTTATTATCATTATTAGATGAACAATGTTAAAAAAGAAAAAAATAATTTTGAGTTTATAAAGGCTAAGATCTTGAAATTCACTAAATGAATGGTCTATATTTGTATTTAGAGGTGACTCATTTTGACCATATCTAGACTTCAAATGGAACTTTTTTTTTTGTGGGGATTGATTATTGAGATGAAGAGAGTGTGTGTGCAAAATTTGAAGTCATACAAATACCACAAACATGATTTTCTAGAAGTATCGTTGCATTTTACTATGATACACGATTACTTTGAGACGTGGGTGTTAAATCGGGCAATTGGGAGTATGAATTGGGTTTAAGTTAAAAACAAGACATTTCATATAATTCTTTACATCTAACGACTAAAAGTCATTTTGACCTTGATATAAAGCGGGATGTCCCATAGTGTACAATCCCCTGTTTCATATTGCAGTCGGTTCATCTATCTTTCTTGGACTTTTTCATTGTGTTTGTAGTTTCTAGTATATGGAAGTTTCCATATTCTTAATAGGGCAATTTTGCCAAGTATTTAATTGGAATTAAGATTTTGGAGGAGGTCATAATTAGGGGCGATAATTTCTCCACAATTTTCTTTCTTCCGTGAATTTCGGTCCTTCTATTTTATTCCGCAATCTCGGGTCTTGGTTGCTTCCCTTTTCCTTATCTTTTCCTTTTCTTGCGCCAAAACTAGTCCCGTTTAGTTTACTCTTCAATATATTTTAGGGTCCCTTAATTTTTTTAGAAAAGTTTGTATAGAGCCGAGGTTCTAAACGATCAAATTAGAGACCAGCTCAAAAATTTCACCAGAAGAGGCTGTTTTGATGCTCAAATATCTTCAAATTCATCATTTCGACATCGATGCATAGACATGAGAAAAAAATGGATTTCAAGTTTTGGAAATACTACATCTTGTAACGCATTTTTGGACTGTCAATTTTCAAGTTTTTTATGTTTTCATAGATCTGCTCGATTTACATTATTTTTGAAGCTTTAAATTTTATAATTAACATTAATAATATATTTTAATGCTATCACAAAGATTTTCAGTATTGAAACCATTTTTCTCAACACGATTTGAAGGTAGGCTTTAATTTTATTGTTTAAAGCCTTGGCTATATAAAAACGGCACCTTTTATACAAGGTGGTCACAATTCCTTATAACTATTTGATGTGAAATTTAATAGCTTGGATGTGTCACAAAGTTTGAGAAAATTTCTTTTGAAATTTGCGCTTGGTCAATGGAATAATTGCAGCTACCCAACTTTACATCCAATTGTCAAGATTATTGTAACCAGCTTGTATAAAAGGTAAATGGCCTCATTCTATACTTTCCCATTTTATAATTAAAGATGAAAATATGTTTTAAAGCTTCACAAAGATTTTCAGTATTGAAACCAGATTTCTTGACATTATTTAGAGGTGCGCTTTACTTTGATTGTTCAAAGCCTTGGCTCTATAAAAACTGCACCCTATTTTTATTTCTTCTTTGCCTTTTGGTTTTTTTATGCTTCTATCTCAATGCTCAACCATCTTACATTTTTTTGTAGGAAAA